GGGGGGGGGACCCTCCCCCAAGGCAATGGCCGCCTCTCTGTCCTCCACGCCAGAACGGATTAATGGTAATTACACTGAACCTTATGGGGAAATTTCCTTCAGGTTGCGACCAATTCGGGCTGTGACCAGAGTCACGGAACTAATTAAGTTCGTAACCCAAGGTACCACTGTAACTTAAACATCTTGTGTTTGTTAGAATTTCTTCTAAGCGATTGCTCTTAGACTTTAATGTTCATGCTTCAGTTGTTTGGAGGCACATCTGGTCCTATGGTTGATCAATCCAAATTAACGGGTACAAATATGGGGCTTTGTCAGAGCAGAGTGATCGGGACTTTGACCAGGCAGTAAGGGGAAGTGACAACATATTTTGTTAGGACTGGCTTTGTTAGGGAGTAGAGTGGATGCTATGTTATGGTAGCAGATCCTGGGAGGCAGGAAGGAAAATGCCGTGCCTGATCCTCTAGTAAGCTGGTGCCTTCTAGTGCCATGGTGGACTCTGTCAAACTGCCAGTGCTGAAGTAAAATGCAGCTGCTGGTTTTGCCAGCTTCTGTACATCGGAAGGTGGGGCTGCCTCACTCTTGGTTTCAAAATTAATTCAAAAGACACAGACACAGAGAGAATAAAAGCTACAACCCAAGGGAATGAACCTCAGGATGGGCAGATTGGAGAACATTCTTCAAAATGAGTAGATGCCTGATAGAAATCAAAGTACTGTCTCACTGGAGTTCCCTTTCCATCCTGAGCTTTTCAACCCCGTGGAAAACACCTCCCCAATTGGACCTCCTCCTCCATTTAGGATTGCTTTTTTGAATTTGGTTTTTGCTTGACACACACTAATGGGAGTCCTTTGGTTTATGTGGTCTTGTTACAGGCTTCCAGACAATGTCACCTTTGAGGAAGGAGCCCTTGTTGAACCTCTTTCTGTAGCAATTCATGCCTGCAGAAGAGCTGAGGTGACGCTGGGTAGCAAAGTCTTCATTTGTGGTGCTGGTAGGGAAGACTTTGGGATTCCTTTGATTTTTCTGATGTATTATGTTTGTCCCATGGATGCTCCTTCCCAAACAACTTCCTTAATCTGTACTCCTTTGGGATATAATTGTTGGAATTCCTTCTCACATAGATCCCTACCAAGATCTCCCCTAAGCATTCCAGTCATTGCTGTGTGTAGAAGTGTGAGAAGTACTGGCAGTGCTCTGTATACATAATTCCAGACCACATGTATGGAACAAGAATCCATGGGAGGCTTAAGTGCGTCCTTGTAATGTGTGTGACAACCATGAGACAACTGTGACATCCATCCCTGATCAATCTCAGTTGAGAACATTCATCTGAATCTTCTCTTATGCATCCCTTCCAATACATGCTTGGAAGGCTGTGAAAAATATAACCTCAGGATTCTACCTCTCAAACCTGCATCTCTCTCTTTTTCCTTGTTGCTGGAGAGGATCAGAAAAAGCACTGCCTCTTTAAAGGAAAGTTCTGATGCAGGTTCTGAGTGTTAGAAGGGCTTTCCTAATGCCAGTTCTTACAACTGCTCCACTTTTAGGGGGTGACTTGTTTCTGGGGTTTCTCTCCTTGGTCCTGAATTTTGGGGAGGGGGTGTTACCCTAGGAAGGTTCCTGACCCTTGGTAATCTCAATCCCATTTGGATAATGGAACACCTGGTGGAACAATTTGACTTGCATAGCTTCAGTTCACTTGCCAGCTCATAGCCAGTCCTGTTGTTCACATCTCTGTCTCTCTGTTGTGGGTCCTGCAAGTGACTCTCACTGTCCTTTCAGGCTCCTTCCATGGTGAGCTAAAATGCGCCTCCTTCCATTATTTCCCCCATTTTTTTAATTGCTTCCATCATCTTCATATTTGATATGGTGTCCAAATTCCTCTTCCAAAAAGGTTCACCTGGTGACCATGTGATTGCCTTTTTGGGGGGATAAAGCAAAGGCCGTGTTTACTGTGATGCTTTTATTGTTTCCTAATAATGTTCTTTTTATAATGTTGTAGTTTTATTGTTTAAAAAGAAAGGAATTCCTTAGAAGGGTCTGTTGAGCCTCAAACTCTGTGCAATAAATAACCAGAGTGTCGTCTTGATGTTCCCCTCCTTTCTCTCCCCTTAGGACCTATTGGGCTTGTGACTTTGCTTATTGCTAAGGCAATGGGGGCTGCCCAAGTGGTGATTAGCGGTAAGACCAATTTACAATCTAGATGTTGTATTTTCTGTGTTTGCAGTTCAGCTGGAAAGTTTACATTACCGGTTACGTGAGATAAAGGATTAATGTTGCTTGGGCAAATACAAAGCTGTTAGATGGGACAAAGGAAGAAATATTATCCAAGAAATGAGCCAAATCTAGGCAGCACAACGTTGTTTTCTTAATCTTAGTGGTTTATTTTGCATAAACAAGCAGAAAGACAATTAAATATAAGTAAAGTCTCCTTTGAGTCTAATATGATTCTTGGTGACTCCATAGGCACATCCATAGAATGTTCTTGTCGTCTTCTGGGATGTGTTTTTGCTTCCCAATCAAGCGGACCACTCAGAGATTTTTTGGTGGGCTCTCGTCCAAATACTAACCCAGTCTGATCTCGCTTTGGCCCTACAGATCAGCCACAATTGGCTATGTACTGCCACCTAACTGGGCCCTTTGAATATAGTGCTCTAGGATGCATCGGGTGGATTCTCCATCATAAATCCACGTCCAGGTGATTGTGGGAAAGTAACTTGTTGGTAGTGCAAAAGAGTACGAGATACCGTAGAGGAATGTTTCAGGGCTATGTTTGAACTGAAGACTCATTACAATGAAGCCCAAACTGGTTTATTGTCAGCACTGGAGGCAAAGATAAGTCTAAAGAGAGATGAGTTTAACAATCCCTCTCTACAGAGTTATGCATATTAGAATATATATGGGATGGGACATGGCAGCAAGGTAGTTGATTGGGCTTAGACAACAGCAAGTATTTGATTGGCTCATATACCTAGTGAGGCCATTATGGTGGAACCAGGAGGTTATGGGCCAGGAATACAAAAACAATGGGGTTTTCAAATAACAAAGAGGCAGTTATTCTATGAACATAATTTGTTTCTAGGGAGTTACTTTCTTTTGCTTTTTCAGAATTCTGCTACCCTTCCAAGATCATTTCCCAACTTACCAGCATTCCTTCACCTTCTAAATGTTTTTGTGGCAGAGCTGACAGTTTTAGTTATCCTGGGAAAGTATATTTGGGTTAGGCTCTTTTAGGTTGACCCCTAAAATTCTGCTACTTATCATAGCTTAGGGACTACAATAGAGTTGAAGCCTTGGCTCCCCAAAACTTTGGGTCCTGAGGATATTATCGAAAACACCACCCACACCATAATTTTTAATGCAGTAGAAGGTTATAGCCATTAAACATATGAGGATAATTGTATTGACTGGGCATAAGGTATGGAACTTGCTTTTAATTCAATCTAGATGTAAATTAAACTGAGTTTAATCTTTGTTCTACTTCTGCCTAATTCTGGATCCTGGTCTCCTGTATTAATCAGACCAAGAACAACCTTTGCTCTGAAAATGTTGTATAGCCCTGGATAAAAGTCTACTTTATCAATGGATTTGAATGCCACCCACATTATTAGTGTCTGTGTGTTCCTAAGTACAGAGGAAAATGAGTGTAAATAGGTCGGAATAGCTTGGAATGAAAGAAGTACAGTAGATCTGTGACGTTGGGGTTCAGAGCTCAAATATATCCAAGGTAGGAACAATTTGTCATCTGGATGGACTCTATTCTTTAAAACTATTAGATGTCTTGAGCTGGCAAAGAATTTGCAGCACCTTAAAGACTAACAAATGAACTGCTGCCAAAAATCATGAGGTCAGAGCCCGTTTGCTGGAATGAGCTGATACACAAAGGTGGAGGCCTTTCACATGCCCTCTCCCTGGATCTTTATGCCATTTATGTAGCTCAAGATCTGTTGGCTTAAGGGCTTTACCTGGGTTTGGGGGGTCTCTCAAGACGTGTACTGCAAAAGTGGGCATGGATAGGACCCAAGGGAGGGGAGAAGTGAAGTCCTGTGGTCACCTTTCCCCAAAATGCAGTATATCATAGTCCATTATGTATATGTATCTGTCTGCCCATCTGTTTCATGCCCTCTGATGACCATGAAAGACATGATAGTAGGTGGGTCACAATTTTGGCACCTGTGAGATGGATCTTCTAGTTTTTCTTCCCCAAACAGCACATCTAGTATATGATCTTTGCACAGGACCTTCACTTGATGTCCCATGAAGGTGAATTACGTATAGAGATTGGTGCCTGTGTTGGTGGGAAATATTGGCAATGATTTGTTCACTGACCTTTGTTACAACCTGCCAACCAGAGTTACTTTGGCAATCAGCTACCACTGACTATCTACCATGTTGGGTTGTCAGAATAATACTTTGCAACATCTTTCCCTAATCTCTCTATCTCTGGATATGTTAACAGCTTCCAGAGATCCTAGAGAGACCATGAAAGCTTGTTTGTCCCCAAACTTTCCTAAATCTGGAGTAGATAACCTGCTATTCACTAGACTTCCCTCAATTCTCACTAGCAAGGCAATGGCAAGGGATGATGGAAGCTGTTGTCCACAATGTCAGGTCAGCACTGGTTTCTTATTCTGTCCTAGAGCATCTCAGAGGCAGGAAAACATGGCTGGTAGCTGACCATCATCAAAACTCTTGCTTGGACTGGTTTAACCACTCCCCTCAGATAATTAAATTAACTTAACTGATCCTAGTGCTTTAGTTTCCATTATTGTTATGGATTTTGCTTTCTTTGACTACAGATTTGTCTGCCCCACGGCTCGAAAAAGCTACAGAAATTGGGGCTGATTTCACCATCCAGGTAAAGGGGCAGAGTCCTGAGGAGCTGGCCAGTGTGGTGGAAAACATGTTGGGTTGTATGCCTGACATTACCTTGGAGTGCACTGGGGCCGAAGCCTGCATCCAGACTGGAATATATGTGAGTGCCTCATAGCTTAAGTGTGCATCAAGAATAATCTCTCAACTGTGGGCATTATTGTAGGAGAGAGAGAGGGAAAACTCATTCTTGTTCATATTGAGAACTTCAGATTTAGAATGGGGCACTTTCTAAAGTGATTAAAGTAGATGAGGCCACCTTCCTATGATAGATGCACAAATACATTTTTCACACATGCAGCTAAACCAGTCTGACAAAGAAACACACATTGTTTGCATCAACACATATACCCACATCTTGCGTTGGGTTCCAGGGGATGCTTTTCTTTCCCGTGTGAAATTATATCCTGAGGAAAAGGCAGCCGTCAGGGAGGTTAGCTGTCCTGCATGATAGTGTCCACTTGAAGAAAATAAAGCTCCCACTGCTGATAATGGCTGGCTTTTTTCTAAGCCTAATTGCACCAGAGGGGAGATGAAGGATAGAGACTTGGCTCCATGTAGCAGTTGTAGAGGACCTGCAGGTTGGAGAGTCTGAAACCCACATTTGAAGGCTGTTAGAGACTTCTTTTGAAGCTTCCAACTTGGGAGGCTTGGTAGATGAACCTTCTCAGTGGTGGCCTTTCAATCAGAGACTTCCCTTTCTTGGTGTGTTCATTGACACTGTTGGTATTGGTCTTCAAGCCCTCAGGGGACACCATAGCTTTCACAGGGGGAAACAAAGTAGGAAAGTGATGACATGTATGTGATGACATCATCATGCAAATGAAACGTCTTACATACCTCATGTACGTTTGATGTCATGATGTGATGTTTGATGTCAGTGTGGCTTATTCTGGAACTTCGGGATGTTTGATGGCTTGTTATTGCTGGGTGATACCTCTCAGACTTTCCATGGGACCTCTTTTCTTTTACACTGCCAGGAAGGGATTTGTCCTAGTAGCAGAGCACAGGCTTTGAATGTCCAAGGTTCTAGGTCAGTTCCTACCTTCTCCAAGAAGGACAGGGAAAACTCTGGCCTAAAATGGCAATCCTGGTGACAATTCTGGGATAGATGGATGCTTCTGTAGCAAAAGGCACCTTCTTTTGTTTCTTTATCCCCTCTCAACTGTTATTATGGCAGGGAGAAAAGTAATCTTGACATGTTGGCTTCTGGAGAAGTTGGAAATGGATTTGGATCCTCTTGTTTTGTCCTCAGGCAACCCGTTCTGGTGGGACTCTGGTTTTGGTGGGTCTGGGCCCAGAAATGGTCACCTTGCCCATTGTGAATGCAGCTGTGCGGGAGGTGGACATCCGTGGGATATTTAGATACTGCAATACGTAAGTATTAATCATGGGTCTAGAGGAGCAAATAGTGATTTGTTTTCCTCATACCTGACCTTGGACACTGAATCAAGAAATGTGACCGCACCACGTTTTAAGATTTTGCCAGCCATTTTTAAAATATATATATATATATATATATATAACAAAAAGTCAGTCCTAAAGAGCTCTTGGAATCTGATCAGTTCATCACTGTGACCCGTAAGGAAGAGTGATAAGCCTTCAAACGACATTGTGTAGCTGCCATTTTGTGTTGTCAAGACATTGTGTAGCTAAAGAAATACACATTCTGCATTGCTTTTATCAAGAGGGTGTGGACAGGTTTGAAATGTAGCTTAACCGAAAGTATTGTACAATGTCAATAATTTCAGTACAGAATGTTTTGTCCTTGATCTAGTGCTACTGTGCAAAGATCTAATATATTGAATATTCTTAATTAAAAAGAGAGGAAAAAAACCTAAATGTAGTTCTAGACATTTAAATACATCAAACTGGGTTTTCAGTTGTAACTTTTTTTTAACAGAAAACAAACAATTATATTTACCAAAAAAAAAAGGGGAGGGGGTTAAGGAGAAGATAAAGTAACCTCTGATTTTTGATGGGTCTTGGAAACATCTACCTAACAGTAATTCTTGCCACAGTCAACAATTCAAAACCTGAGTGTCTGTCAATCACTTTTTTCTTTTTCACTGCAGGTGGCCCATGGCAATTGCTATGCTTGCATCGAAAAAAGTCAATGTGCAGCCACTGGTGACACATCGGTTTCCTTTGGAAAAGGCAACAGAAGCGTTTGAGGCAACTAAGAAAGGCGTTGGGATAAAAATTATGCTGAAATGTGATCCAAATGACCTGAATCCCTGAAAAAAAATGTCATGGTGCTCCATTCTACTCTCCTGCTAGGGAGGATTAAGTACATGGAGAAGAAAACTTAAACCAAAAAATCAAAGCCTTAAAATGTGTGTTAATGTAGAGCACTGTCAAGGAAACAAATCTTACGCAAATTATTTTGAAACTTGACCTTCTTTAACCTAGAAATAGACCTTGAAGTCAGATGAAGAAATGACATCTGTTCAGACTCTTAGAGGTGAAATGTGTAGTTGGAACCAGCATGGAATCATAAAATTCGGCCTCCAGATCCAATTTTCTGCACAATGCATGAATATTCAACTTTTATGAGGTTGTATTATTTCAGGACCCGCTCCCATAAGAAACTCTCCAGATACACGACACTGCAAGAGGAATCTGCAACAGCTGTGTCTGTTTGGGCATGCCAGCTCATCAATTCTGCCCTCTTCCAGCAGTTTTCATCCACACCCCAATTTTCTCTGTAGCTATTAATCAGTATTCTTTTTTAGGTCCCTTTTTCCTAAAGTTTTTTTTTTTTTTAAGTTCTGCAGAACTTGGAGTTCTGTCCTTTGCATGTGTGCTATTGTTTCAGCTTGAACCAAAAGGACTGGCAGTGGAGAGTTGAAATTATTTGTTCCTACAAGCCTTCCTCAACTTACAAAATTGTTGAGTTGGATGGGGCCATTTCAACTAGTGATTTCAACCCTTTGGCCCATTGAGAGGAATTCTAATTTAAGCATCCTGGACAGATAGTTATCAATCGTCTGCTTGAGTGTTTCTGGCAAAGGAAAACTTATAATCTCTCTAGTCTTCATTTGTTTAGTGGTCTTCTAACATTCAACTAGAATGTGCTGTCTTGTAACTTATCAATGATTCCATGTCCTCCATAATGAGCAGATCATGGCCTTCTCCTATGTTGGTACCCTTTTGGTTATTGATTCAGAGTATTAAACAACCTTTTTCAACCTTCTCCCTCAAGGCAAAACATAGCTGGTACTCTCAATTTCTCTTTTGATGTTGTCTAGAGGTGTTGATACTGCAGGTCCAAAAATTCCCAAATAGTGGCCATAATCTCTACATATCTGAAAGGCATCAGGTTGAGGGAATGTTCTTAAGTGAGACATCAGGACTGAAGGTTCCAACTCAGCATTCTAATTTTGTATACGTATATGTGTATGGATCCATCTAAATGCAATCCCTATACAATGCCTGAAAGAACAGCCCTGCGTGTCTGTCCCAATCCACTTCCTTCAGCTAGTGCATACTTAGAAGCTACTGCACACCATGTACATCACCTAAGAAGTTCCTGCAGGAATTAGGATGAAGTTCTAGACCAGTTTACATGTAGACATGGGAATATACAAATAGCTGTTAGAAGCTTTGTACTATAATCTTGTAAGAAATGCCTAAAGTATGAATGAGGTAGAATGGCACAGAACGTAGGGCTATCAAATGTCCATCCCATCCTAAGAATTCCTTCCTTCCTTCCTTCTCCTTCCTTCCTTCCTTCCTTCCTTCCTTCCTATTGGTAAATGATGCTAGAAACCTCCTGCAGTTCCATCCTACCTCCATATCTCCTGGAGAATCTTGAGGTCATGGGTTATTAGTTCACTGAAGAATGTATACCTCTTCTAGCCTTAGCTGCTTTATGTATGTATAGTTGTACCTGTTTGTGGAAATAGCATCATTGTTGCTCTGGTGCTCAGATCCCCAGCAAATACAACTATTGTATCCTGGTTTTGCATCTTGCAGAGATGACTTCAGCCCTTACTGTTGGAACAAGAACCATTTCCTTGTAAAGCCGTACCCCCTCGTGGAATGTAGACACATGCCAATAGGTGGAGAACTTAGGTGGGTCTGTTATTTGGAAGTGCAAAGTGCCAGATTGACAGTTTGGAACACTCAAGTCCTATGTCTTCCCTAAGAGCCTAATATGGTAACTCCAGGGGAAACCTTTCACTCACAAAGCCCTGGTACGTCAGGCCTGTTCTTCATGGTTAAAATTTATCCTCTGATGTTGCTTGAGCAAATAAAAGAAGAAAGTAGCTTTTGTTGAGTCTGTTGTAATGGCTCAGAGTCTTTCATGGTTTGGTTGTTCCGCAAATTGATTCTTAGGTCTTCTCCTTTTGTTTGAAAACTCAGGGCAATAAGGAAATAAAATGGTTCTACTAAGTAAACTAAGTCTGCAAAAGCTTTATTTTTTTGTCTACACCATGGTGGGGAAAGCAGAAGGTCCTTTTGGGAAATGGCATGATATACTTGCTCTGTATAAGGTGTTTCCAGAGATGTTACGGCATCCTTGATTTGATGTGTTTGTCAAGTAATACTGTTGATTTTTATGAAATAAATAAGACTTTAAAAAAAAAACAGATTTGTACCACGTGGCTACCATGTTCAGTGGTGGGAAGCAAGTTGCCTTTAAATTAAACCTACAGCTGAAAGTCCAATGCTTTGCAGTTGCATTGCCAGCGCAAATAGTTTGGTCATTAGTCATCATTTTATCACCATGATAAAACCAGAGAGATCTAGGATAGAAAACACAAGCCAAAAAGAAAAAGAAAAGATTAATAATTTGAGGATTGTAATCTAAAGAGGGACAGAGGCAGAGTCAACCTTTAGCAATAAAAGGGAGATTTCAAAAACTGATGGGAAAGAGTGAATTTTGAGGAGGGGAGGAAGTAGAAAGGTCAACAGACTTGAGTAGCAAAGACTTCGATTCCTTTCAAATCATGGAATAATCACCTTTGGGTTCTGGGTATCAATGAGCTGGAAAGAATTCAGGAGAGCCCCACAAAATATTATAAAAGTGGTAATGTCAGGCGCTTGTGATTTAAATAATCATAACATGGTGGCCAACTTCTGTTAATCTAAGTTGGCATTCTAAATCAGTCTGTCTCAACCTTGGCAACTTTTAAGATGTGTGGACTTCAACTCCCAGAATTCCCGAGCCAGCATGGCTGGCTCGGGAATTCTGGGAATTGAAGCCCACATATCTTAAACTTTAAGATGTTGAAAGTCCACATATCTTAAACTTGCCACGGTTGGGAAACACTGTTCTAAATCACTGATTGCTGGCTATTGTATTTTACCGCTGGGATCATAGCCACTGAGCTCTTGATGGAAATGCTGAGTAATGAACTTCACATGGTGAATGCGATCATGAGCCACATCCAGCTTTCGGGGATACTTCCCTGGCTGTTCCTATCATCTGCCCCCCAAGTTATTGAAGGTCGCAGGTTGCCTTACTTACATCACCAAATAGCAGAAATCAAGTTGAAGTCAATGGAAGGGTTGACTATCCAGGCACAGAGCGCGTGGCTAAGTGGCCCACGGTCCTCAAAAGAAATTACAACCTGCTTCAATTTATAGTTTCAGACTGTTTGGGACCTAAGGAGGTATCCACAGCTTAAATGACCCTACTTTTTGCTTTGATTTTGTTCTCTGTAGTACCCTTCTTAATGAATATTTGATACTTTGCCCAGTTTTTTAAAAAAGCAAATGCATAGCAATTAGGTTGGGGAATCCTCTTGACTTAATTCTGCTCTTGTTAACGGTTTGGTATAAATAAGAGTTCCCAGGAAAGAAATCAATAGTTGAAAAAGGAGAAGCAAATGCAGAACCCCTCTCTATTTCCTTAAATTTAGAATCTTGATTTGTCACCCGTAATCACTTTGTATTTTTAGCTTAGTACATTATAATGGAACTAACTATATGAAATGATCTGCATGTCAGATCTGGTGGGGAAAAGTGGGAGGAAGGGTTCAAACTCCCATCTTGAGGTGCTGTTTTTTCTTGGCTCTTTTCCCCTTGGCTTTTGAGCTTTGTGGCGATTTGAAATTCCATCTTTTTACGAGATGGACAGCTCATACCAAATCGTTCATTAAAAACCAAGTCATCACCTTTGCACAATTGCTTAAGTTTGGCTGCTTGTAACTGTGGTTAGATTTCGGCAGGCGAAGCATGTACTGTCAAGCCAGCCATTTGGTGATTATGTGAACCCAGAACATGATTTTGTTTCGTAACCAGGTTAAGGGTGTTGTATGAATAGAACTAGTGAATTTAGAGACTTCCACTGTTGGACAGCAGAGTTGTGAAGAACACAGAAATCCAGCTGCCAAAGGACTTCAGCCTATTCTGAATATCCCTTTAGAAATTACTATAAGAGATGACACCTCAGTATTTAAATATAGAATTAAAATGACACATTAAACAAAATAAATGTTTAATATGTTTAATTTACCACTCAACTGTAAATATATTAAACAGGCTTGGCTGACAACATACAATTAAAAAACATATCAAAGGAAGCCTTTATGGGATCTATAATAATTCCATCTGTCTCTAAAATAAGGGTTTCTAACTGAAGGAAACATGAAATAGTCAGCCCCACTGATAGAGATGTAGTTTATTGCTGATTTAAACTGTTTTGGAATGTGAAGGTACAGGAAACTAAGTCAAAATGAAATGGGTTCTTAATTTATTATAAATATACTGGTTACAAACTGTTATTTTACTTATTTTACTTATCTTATTTCAGTATTTGTCATTCTTTAAATACTTCTTTTTAAATAAATTTATTAAACATTACAATTAAAAAGATAAGAATGAATACAAACTAAAAAAATAAAAGAATAAAAAGACAAAATAGTGCAGAACAGAAGGAAAAAACAGAAAGAAAAATAGAAAAGGAAAAAAATAATATAGTAAAAAAAAGAAAAATATATAAAGAAAGGACTTCCCCCTTCATCTCAACAAGTATAACAATTTTAGTAACTTATCACCATTTTATAAAATACAACAAATGGCCTCTTCTTCCCATATCCCATCTCTTATTTATAAACAAATCCATAGAGTTTCATCATTTCAGTCCTGATGTCAGCAAAAAAATCCATAAAGGGTTGCCAGTTTTGTAATGACATAACTTATTTTAACCTTGATCAAATAAGCCAACTTTACATTCCATCCTTTTAACAATCTTGAACTTTAATCCCTTCAATTATTGTCCTAGAGCTTGATTTGTTTTAATTTTTTACTTTGTTCCTTCTCATAAAATCCTTCAAAACTTTAACAAGTCTCTTTTGTAAATCCAATATAGAAAAGTTATCCAAGTCGCTCTTTAGGTTTGTTATTTGTATATCGCTTTTAATTATTAATCCATTAGCTGATTTCATTTGTATATCCAGTGTAGTATCTTTTTCCATATCATTCTTGTAGCCTGTCATTTTTAAATCCACTTTCAAATCAGTCTCAGTTTTGTCTGGTGAGGATTCATAGCAACTAGACATCCCCAAACGAGTGGAGATGGCACTGCGGTGGAGATCGGCAGCTAGACAGTGAGTTATGGCTGGTGAAGTCTCTCCAGAAAAAGGAGAGATCATGAGATCTCCCACTTGTACTCTGGACAGCTTCTGTTTGTGAGTAGACTGCAGGAACTCAGGTGTTTGTGGTCAGCTTGTGAGCGGCTGGGAGTTGAGGGATTTCAACCAAGCTCACAGCCATAACGTAGCCTATGTGGACACAAGGTTCACCAAGCCTCATTTCTTAACCACTTTTGGAGATTGCTCCTTAACTGTTTTTAAGGTATTAGGAACCTTTGCAATGACAAGTTTTAGAGCACCAGGTGAGTCTTCTTCAATCCTTAGTGAAAGAAGTTTTAAATATAAGTTTAAGGACTTTAAAAAAGATCTTTTGGGGGGGAGGAAATAAACAGCAAATGGGTGATTAGAACATTGATTTTAGAAAGTTTCAAATGGATTAAGGGTCCAGATGGATTTGAAATAAGATTTTGAAATTAATTATAAGAATGGAACAGTATACTTTAACATTGGACATATTGAAGGATGTTTGTGAACAATGGACCCAGAAGTTAATTTTAAAGATGTCTGCCATGATAGATAGACTGTGTTTAAAGGTGTTATGGAAGAGGAACAAGTTTTACTAGTTATCCTATAAATACTTAGATGCTGAACAAACCATACACTACGAATACAGCACAATAAACTGTAAACCCCTCCACCCCTGGAGAAAATATATATGCAGAAACAAATAACAGCTTATAGGAATCACTTCAGATGTAGACATAGACGTCTGCTGCAACAACATCCCCCAACATAAATGATGAAGTGTATGTTGCAAGAACACAGTGCAAACCCTGACTCTGGTTAGTTGTGTCACAATGTCAGATACAAATATGTAAATCATAGAATTTTTGTTGTGACATCACTTGCTTTCCTCCCCATGGATTCCTATACATCAGCCATGCTGGCTGGGGGTTTCTGGGCATTGAAGTCCATGCAAAGTTGCCAAGGTTGAGAAACACTGCTCTCCATGGTGGGCTCCCATTTCTGCCACTCTATTCATCTTCTGGTCTCTGTCATTTAAGGCAGCTGTCTCCCTGTGTGTAATGGTGGGACAAGCCCTGCTTGCAATAATCATAATCATTTTCAGCAGTATTTGTAGATAATTGGTGTTCTAATCTAAACATTCAAAGGTGATGCTTCAGTATTTCCAAGTTTTTCCCCTCCTGATAGTGAGGCTTCTGTAAGATGCACTCTGGTGTGTGCTTTATTCAGTCACCAGGTTCATATTTATTCCAAGGAAGGGTGCCTAGAATAGGATAAGTCCCTTGATATTGTATATTTGCATATTTTTGTACCCTGCAAGGAAAGGAAAAGAGTTGATCAGTAATACAACGAGCAATTTAGGTTTCTAAAACCCCAACTGATGCAAAAGATTTCTGCCTGGCAGGAGAGGGCATGTGTAGATCACATCATACTTCTTTTGTGGCATCTGTAACAGGAATAGAGAACTTGCAGCCTGCTGAATTGCACTATTGGCCACGCTAGCTGGAGCTGTGGGAAATTTACTGCATGATCTGCAGGTTGACAACTTCCTCATTCTGGATCTATGTTGATTAACATTTCATTTCTTGTCTAGATTTAAGCTGCTTGGTTTAACCATTTTTAAAGCCCTAATCTGCAGCCAAAATCCTTTTAAGAATTAACTTGTGTTGGATGAATCTTCCTAAAGTTCACAACATTTTTCAGAGGCAGGGTTGGAGGAAAAAAGACACAATGTCTTTTTTGGTGAAGAACCTCAACAGAGGAAGATGATCTGGGACACACCTCTGCCTGCTCTCAAGTATCTAAGGAAATGCTCGTGTCTTGGCAAAAC